GAGGATATTATCTTTCATCTTGGATGAAGGATGATGCACAAAGATAATTTCATCCAAATAGTGACACATATCATCCTATATCTTCCCCTGTGACTCCGGCTATTTTCGTGCCGTCTCAATAGATTGCTTTGGACTAAGTCCAAGTGAAATAAATTTTCCGCTCCAAGTCCAATTACATTTGGACTAAGTCCATATTGTCCGTGTCCAATTGTTAGAATTAGACTAAGTCATGGTCATGTTATCTAACCAATCAAAGTTTACCGTCATTTAAAATCAAAACCAAATGCACTTTTTATTGTAATTCATTTTAAAATGGGTCGTAAATAGCATTATTTTGACACTTTACGTAGTTGTTCTTTCTGATAAAGACAATAAAAGCAACATATATGCAGTATGTCGTACCCGTGTACTTGGAAAGGGTGAAAATGATAATCATTTAATTGAACCAATTTCTGCTTTAGTTAGATGGAAATAATTTGGATAATTACAATGATCACATTAACAACAACACATGTACTAAAGAAATTACTTGACAATATAAAAGATCAATTTGTTGTAATTCTTGCATTTGATGGGTAGAAGAAAATTTCTAATCATCATCTTCAATTGCCATTGGTATTGACCATTAATTCATAAATTATTTTGGTAACCGAATTTTAATATAGAAGATTCCACCATAGATTTATATATAAGATGTATTTTATTTTATTAATGTCGAGTCACAATATATTTTATTTAAAATTTAAAGTAATAATTAATTTCTTGACTTAAGAATAATTTCAACCATTTGAGCAGAATTATTTTGTTTGATAATAGTTAAAAATGATTTTCGTTCGTTTAATTCTTTATCAAAATAGGGTAAACGAAAACGTTAGACAACAGAGTGTGCAGTAAAAAATTTCAGTTATCAACTTCGATGATAACATTATATTCATTTTTGTCGTTAATAAATTCTGAAAAATCTGTGATAACTTATCAAAAATTTAAAAGAATTTTTTATTATTTGAAACTTTAAACTGAACTGACTGTATAAATAGAAATTTAACCCTCTTTCTCAAACAATTAGCTGAACAAATCTGCAAATTCACTGCATCGTTCTTATAGGGCTTATTTATTAGTGATTTTGTCCGATACTTCGTGTGACATATTTCCTTTTTCGCACAAAGTTCACATGACTCTACAAATTGTGTTAAATTACACAGTATATGTAATTATTAATTGTCATAATTTTTATTAGGTAAAAATGGCATTTTTCCTAAACGAAAAAAATATGTCAATAGCAATAATTAAAATTTTTTAATTTAGCCAAAAAAAAGGTTATTGTTTAAAAGATTTTTAATAAATAAATATTATATTTGTGATGTTTACATATAATAAGTGAACAAGAAATAAAATGGCTCTGATTTTAAAGATTCAAACAAACGGGAAAAATAATGATGCGGTAGTAGTTATTATAAAGTATTAATAATTTTATGTAGATGAAAAGAATTATATTTTTATCATTTCAATTTCTAATAAATATAATAATGTTATTCAATAAATAGACTTTATTTTAAATGATAGTTGTACAGTTTGAAATATGTTTTTAATTTTAATAATCTTAACTAGAATGGCGAATTCAGATTAATAACCACCACCACCATTTTAATACAATAAAAATATTATGTGATTCTATTC